TTTTCCTTAATACATATCCAACCCATTCAACAACATGAGTCACCCACCTCTGTCCTTTTTTGTTTTCTCTTTCTCTCTCTCTCTCTCTCTCTCTGAAAAGTAAACCAACCGTTGAAACCCGCGTGGACTCTCCCCTTCTTCGTTGTCCTTTCTTTCTTCTCCATCTTTGAGAAGTGGAGGATCACAAAGAACCTCAAAACCCAACCCCTTTCATTCACTATTCAATTTTCTATCTGTTTTGCAGAACCCGATTAGCCCGAATTCATTGATTCTTCTTCATCAATGCCCAAGACCCAGATTTGTTTACCAATGTGATATCCAACCCCCTCTATCTTCGAATGTGACCACTGTTCTTGCATTTCAACAAGGAATCAATTTCAGTGGAACCCATTTCGTTGTTTCTTCGCAAGAACAAAGGGGGGAAAAGAAAAAAAAAAGAAGAATAAGAAGAAGAAGAAAAATTTCCGTTTTCATAAACCTAGATAATTCCCTAACCCTAGTTTTCTTGTACCCAATTGATATAAAAATAAATAAAAGAAAACCCAGAATTTAGAATTTGGAATGCGACTATCCCTGATTTGGATTCATACTTTGATCGTTGTTGAATGGATTCACCATTGTTGACATTGGTCTTTCTTGGTTTGGGGATTTTCCTGGGTATTTTCTCTCCAACCGTGCAGTCTGAAGAAAATCTGAGTCCTGGATCAGAATCTCCACCAACTACTCAGTCGCCGCCGCCATTTCCTCCTCCGCCATCGTCCCCTCCTCCGCCGCCACCTGGATCTTCCCCCCTTCCTCCTCCTCCGCCTTCCCCTAGATCATCACGTCCACCACCGCCGACTCCGCCGTCACCACCTCCACCTTTTCCCAATCGCCCGCCACCGCCGAGGACAGCCCATCACACTGCTGCGAAGTCGCCGCCTCGAGATAACAACAGAAAGAAAGAATCACAGAGCGAAAGCGGCCATGGAAAAGCAAGCCCAGTTTCCAAAGAAAACCTCAATTTGGGGAAGAAAATTGGCTTGATGTTTGCGGGTATTGTGGGTATAATGCAAGTTGGTGTGGTGGCATTGTTACTGATCAAGAGACAACAACTGTTGAAGAACAACGGTAGATACTAA